TTACCTTTACTCAGGGACGGGCAAAGGTCAAGCTTGGGGGAGTTTGTTGACTGTAGTTATCATCCAACATAAACAATCAACTTTACTTGTATAAATGCATAAAAAGGATCACCAACATAGACTTAGGGGTTTAAACTGATAATTTCCATGAGCTTTGGTGCATTTATATTTTTAGCAGGGTTATTTCAGAAAACCGTCAAGGAGGATCAAATCAACAAATAAAATCACCCTTATCCACAGCGAAATCAACTCCAGAAGGTTCCAGAGGACACTAGAAGCCACGCCACCAAAGTAGGCTAGGTGGGGCTACCTAAGGGGCTACCGGTTTCGGGTTCATGGGTCGGGGGGGCTGCCCCACGGTGGGTTCGCCCCACCTTTTCCCTCGGGTTTGGTTTTCACCCGTGGATATCCAATGGTCCCCTATTTGGAATTAAAACTCATGTTTTATAATATACTAATAATAATTCTTAGATTATTAAATTTATTTAAAGCTCTCATGAAAATATTTATTATTTGTTGCCTCATGTTTACGTGAATATGTGTTCCTCTACCACCTCCTAGATTGCATCTATGCCGTTATTTCAAGTCGGTTTGATCCGAGGGCTTAGGATTGACACTCTGGCCAATATAACCAGCCCCTACCCCCCCCCTCCAGAGCAAGCTACCATAAGTCAAGAGTAGACTAGAAATTAGGGTTTCTAGAGAGAAGAGAATATAGCTCCAATTCTTCAAGTTTCTATAAGTAGTGTTTGGGCTATCGGTTAGCATTCCGAATCTGCTGTCTGGAGACTGGTATAGCCATTATATCTCTTTATTTATGACTTTGTGCTACTTCAATATTATATTGCTATTTATTATGTTCCTAGTTTTCTCTAGTAATATGCTTGATATAGTTACGATTGATGATGAATATATTCATATGTTCGCAAAGCTCTTAGCTTAGTTCTCGAGAGAGTTAAGTGGTTGACATTATGTAAGTATGGTGCTTAGATATTGTTTGCCTGCGGATGCATTCTGCACTCTGGGTCATGTGGTAGATCATGGATGTGACACTCCCATTGAGTCCTTTGTAGTTCACTCCCCATTTGTAGAGCACGTAGAACATGATTGCGAAGGAAGACAAGCTCTGTTCTTAATCTTCCTTAGTAATGTTTCTTATGCATAGATCCAAAGTTAGTTATACTATAGATGAGAATGTATATACTTGGGTGTACAAAAGACTTAGTAGATAAGTAATGACTTAGGAATCTTTTGCTCTTAATAAATCTCCTGCTTAGCCTTACTACATTTTATGAGTATCTATTTCTATCTCTAGAATACAATTATTACCTTACACTTATCATTTATTTATCACTTGACTTACCCTTGCCATAGCATGAGAGTGGTTTTATCATAAGTATACATATTTGTTAATATCTCTATACCAACACAACCCTATAGCTTCTCCCTGTGGATAAAATATAAGTAACGATACTCGGTATAGTCCTAGGTGAAATGCTACAATGGTAAATTATCTGTGCGCTTGCGGATACCTTATATATATAGTTTACAAGTGTTCTCATAATTACCAACAACGTATTTCTGGCATCATGCTAGGGATGACAACTTAGTTAAGAGTGATGCTAAGAAATGTCAATAGGGGCCTCCTTCATTTCGTTTGTGTGCAGTAGGATGAGAGCTTACTCAGTAATGAGATCATTGAAGAGGAAAATAATCCAACAAAGATCCAACAGTGAAGTCTACAACTCATACCAAAGTGCAACTTTAACAACCATTAATAATTTTCATGGTACAACCTCAAACAAATTTAGAGTAGCACCACATAGATATATATGACTCAAACTAGAGTAGCAATTAATTGAGCTATAACCATTACAATTCAAGCTAAATCAAGTCTATCCATCACACTTAAAATCAGTACACGAGCTCAGAGCTTAGGAGGCAGACAAAGATTAAGAGGACGACAATTACAATAGTTTCGAAGGCAGAAGCAATGGGTCTGTTTGTTTGCCTAGACAGATACGTATAATCAAGCAAGCACTTGACAATTAATAGGCCTAGTCGCACACAGGTATTTACAGTAACAAAACTGAACATATACAGAAAACCAAGACATCAGCAGAAAAACCAACCAGTGCCACCTCCTAGTTCTTTTCATCATCATATCATTGACCTATCCAAATCTCCAACGCTAGAATGATTCTTGTATACCTCATGTTCAAGCAAGGACCAAAACAGTGAAGCGAATAGGAAAAGGAGAGAAAGGAGACCTGCAGATCGGATCTATCATCACCTCAAATCGAACATGGACGCACACAACGAACACGGAAGCGCCAATGCCACCGACACTGCTCCACCACAAGACAAGCCCGCCGCTAGTAGCCTTCAAAATTTGTTTTCACTTGAAGAGGAAATATCACCCTATAGGGCATCCACATAGAGAATATAATACTATAACGACTCCAAAGATCCGCCGCCACCGCTAGTCTAATGGGCATAGATTTGTTTCCACTTGAGAATATAATACTATAGGGCATCCACTATAGGGTCAAGTGACCGCATAGTCTGATAGGACGTGAGAAAGGTCCGTATATCCAATATAGGTCAACCCGAGACCGAGACCCACATGGCGGTCCCATGACACGAAGTCAGACACCCACAGTCGAATGCTAAATATAATACTACACGCCGACTCCAAAAGGACATGTCAATACAACATCACGGATGAGTAAGCATCTAGCGCAATGGTAAAGGGTCCCACAAGTACACGTCGCATGGAGAAAGGATTCCTTCCTCCGGGAGTCCGGTCCCATGTTCGACTCCCCGAGAAATTGAGGTTTTTCTTTAATTTATTAGACCCGATGTGTAATTAGTTCAATGACGATGGCACAAAAGGTACAAGTGACACATGATTTTGTCATAGAAAGGGAGGATTGCAGGATCGTTAGGTCCCACGGATTCGTCATTAAGATGGAGATGGAGAAAGGTTCCATAGGTACACGTGACACGTGAGCCGCCCCAGTCCCACACACCGACGGATGGTCCCACAAGTACGTCGCGTGACATGCAAGCCACGCTCGGGTCCCCCACCAAGGTCGGATGAAGATGGAGAACGGTCCCACTACTCTCCTCGTACCACGTGACACGTGACGCCAGCCGTTCATTTCCCACAGGTCAGAATGCTAAAGGGTCCCACTCCAACCCACTCACAACCAAACACCATGAAAATTGGGTCTGGCCCGCTCCAACCCACTTCAACCCCAATCCAAACATATGGATGGAGAAATGACCGAGAGACTATGAGACTTTATATGAAGAATTGCAAGCTGTTACACTGCATGATGCAAGTACTGTACAGTTTTTAGTCCGATCCACGGTCTCATAGATTTGTACGTTTGTTTGTCTTATAATCCGTATTTTTAACGGATGGAGAAATATTATCCCTCATAACAAATCAATCGGAACACAGTGTTTCGCTTGCATTTTTCAATGAAACGAGAAAGGATCGAGCAGCAAAGTACATGGGTCCTTTTATGATGAATTAAATCCATAGCATACACCCTTCATGGATTGAGTCCCTTTGTATAGAGCAGTCCCCCCTCTTGTGCCTTGTGGGCAACACTTTGACCAGAGTCATATTCATTAATTAGATGCATGCTAGAGGAGGAAGAGGGGAATCAAACAATGTTTGTTTAGTCTAGTTCTTTCTGTTTTAGGGATCAAGTAGGGCATGAGTTAAGAATGGCTGAGTGCATAATATGTGTCAGGGGAATGGCAGGCAGGCAGGCAGGGCATGAGATGGCTGGCTTCTATCTCTAGACCTGTTCGCTTCTTTTATAATCCGTACTTTTCAACTTGTTTTTTTAGTTAGAATAGTATTTTTCTCTCACAACAAATAAGCCGAAACAGTGGTTCAGCTTGTTTTTTAGCGAAGCGAACGGGGCCATACTATATATATATATACAGTGGTGGCTAGCTAGATTAATTAAGATGCAAGTAAAGTAAAGGCCTGGAGCTAGCGGCCATGCCTCCGTGCTGATCCTGATCAATGCGATTACCGTCTGATTAAACAGATTAAGAAGAAATGCGCAAGTATATGTTAATGATCGATGCTGCTGTGGAGCTAGTATGTAGAGGGCAACAAGCAGTAGGTACACTAGCTAGTAGAGATAGGGCCCAGTGGGATGGTTAATTAGGGCGTGGCATGGAGCGTGCAGCGCCGTGCATGCATGCGTAGGTTGCAGCTAATGGAGGGTGTTAGGGTTGTTATGAATGCTGTTACGATGATGATGGGTGTTGTGGGTTTGGGCTTTGAGCGTGTCGTCCGCCGTGGGGGCGGTCAAAACAGGATCTGGGCTTGCATGCACGCTTTTGCCAGAGGGGCCCAGCCCCGCCACCTTTCTTGCTTTGGTAGCCGGCCGGCCGGCCAGAATGGGATGGTCGTCAGTTCATCGACCGACCGGGATCTGCAGCACTCGAGGACCGCTGCATGCATGCGCCTCGATGCACCGGCGCCTCGGTCGACGAAAAGGCTCAGACACTGACGTCAGACATACTATACGGTAGTACTTTGACCATCATCTTCTTAATGATCCAAATTTTGGTACGTTTAGTGTACAAAAGATATGATGCATCCGTAGATCCATATCTCCCATGCCTTTTAGTAGGGCATTCGATGTATAGCATAACCGAGAATATATTGTAGGAGAAATTATTGGTGAAGGTATATATGTTGATTTTTTAAATACTTTCTCAAACCCTAAAAATATCTCATTAAGATCAGTATAGTATCTCCAGCACTTCACTAGTAGCAACCCTTATCCCGTAACCTGTCATATTGGGGGATCAGGACGAGGTAATTTCATTCCTCCTGCAGTTCTCCAATAGCCATTCTTCTTTTTGCCAAAAAAAAAATACCCCATCTCCCCTCAAATAAAGGGGTTGCATCTCCCCTAATATAATAATATGGGTCTTACAATAACTACCTCCTTTTCTTATTCCTACAAACTGTGAGTCATTGCCGCCGCCAACGTCCAAATCTCCGTCCACGGCACTGCGATGACCACACCAACGTCACCACGATGAGCAGGACCTCGGCGTCGACTTCGGCACGCCAGCTCTGTGCCAGCCTCCGTGAGATCCACAACGCGGCATGGGAGATCCGCCATGGCCGAGAGGCTACGGGGCGGGTGATATAGCAGGGAGGTGACGCTAGATACCAGAGCAAGGATGGCCGTGTGGATGAGCTTGCGGTCGACAGCCATGGTGAAGGGGTGGAGAGGAGGGGCGCCAGCCGTGGCCGGAGCCGAAAGGGGTGGAGAGAAGAAAGGGGGCACCATGGGCACGGCCACGGCCAAGTCGCGGAGGGCGCGGCGTGGGGCGGGGAAGAAAGATGGCCCGCTAGAGAGAGAAGAGGAAGAAAATAAAAAATCACAATCTGACATGTGGGTCGCATATATTAGATCGAGGGAGATTATTGGTAATCTATTGGTAATCAGTACAGTAGTACTGTACTGATGATGACTGCAACTGACGATCCGGCCGGGCCCCGCTCCTGCTTTACCTTCCTTTCCTTGCGATGATATCGCCATGCCGTCTGGCCCTCGATCTGCACTGCAGCCTTCTTCTCTTCTTCAACCTCAGCACACGGCTTTGCCTTCCTTCCCTTCCATTCCCTCCCTTTTGTCGCACATGCATGATACTCCTATACTATATGGAATGCATGCAGTACAGTGTAGGAGTAGTCTAGTGCAGACACGGACCACCAGCCTGCCTTGCTTGCACTCGCAGCAGCGACTAGGCCCGGGCCCCCACGTCCCTCCGCGCCTTCCAGCTCGGCCCCTCGGCCTTTGCTTTCGGCCGCGGAGACATTGAGCATGTCGTGATCGGGAGGCACGAGCCAGCCAGCACCATCAGCAGGGAAAGACTAGCACGCAATCATCGCATCATGCTTGCTACTACCCTAGCACAGAGAGCTCACAAGGACAAAGGAGCGAGGGGCCCATTTCCAACGTCCCCGTCCGATAAATACCCACGACGAACGTCTGTCACATTCGGCCCACAAGGCCCAGCGAGGAGACCCACCCTTGCCCACAGCACTAGCAAAACATTTGCCATGAAAATCAATTCAATTCAATTCAATGGAGGGCACAAACAGGCAGACATTACCCCAACCACGTCTCCCAGTTATTTTGCACAAGAGACGAAGAAAACTTCTCCCACTTCTGGACGAAACGACGCTGCTTCTGAGTTCTGAGTTCTGACCAAATGGTGGTGGTCGTGGTGGTGGTGGTGGTGGTGGGCAACGTAGTTCCAAATTTCCATCCACAAACGTTACAGCAGCCAAAGCCGCTCACCGCTACAAAAATACAGCAACCAACCAAATGGTGGTACAATACTCTCAGTTTAGTTCGTCTTTCTAATAAGACACAGCCATTCCATGCCACAGATTTTTCTTCTTCATTCATCCGACCATGGTGCGCTTCCTGCCCCGTTGCCTCACTGTAAATAAAAAAAAAAATCGATTGCAAAGAGTACATACTAAGAAGGTCATTACTCACGTCAGCACATCTACATAAGACAGAAACAAAGGGCCCCGCGCTGCCACAGGGCCAGGACCACGCCATGCCTTGAGCCAGCTTGTTCTGGGTGGAGCACCACTGCTTCCAAGCCTTTCTGTACGCCGCCAGGATTTTCTCCATCTGGTTCATCATCAAAATCAGTGTTGTTACCCACGTAAGGTCTTGTTTGGATGCGCATGCATCTCAATCCACATGTGTTGAAGTGGATTGGAGTGAAATTAAACTAAGTTTCATTCCAATCAACTCCAACATATGTGGATTGAAGTGGATACACATATATCCAAACAAGGCCTAAGTTTGCTAAGGCATGATTAACACAACATAACAAACCAGCATAGAAACCATAGTAAATAAGATGCCACGAACAAAAGGAAATAATCATAAATCCACATGGCAAAACTGGACTAATTTGTAATGTAAATTCGAAAATGTTTGCACAGATCAGTCGGGCCCAAGTGCAGAATAACAGTCAAGCAAAACCAAATATTGACCAAACATTTCAATGAAAGCAACTTGAATATCAATTTATGCAGTCTCCTCACCACATCCCCACAGGACGAATGCATGGAAATCAAAGCTCTCTAGCACATATAGGTCCACCGCTTTGTCCTCGGGAATTGTTGATGTGAAACTCAGACCAAAATCAATAAGAACCTGCCTAGATTAACATATATAAGATGCAAATCAATAGCCATGATGCAACTCCACCAGGTCAATTGCTGCTGATCTTGATTATTATGATAAACTTGACTTCATAGCTCAATAAAGTGAATACATTAAAGAGAAGGTGTTGACAAAAAGGATATTGTACCCACCAATTGATTGTTACTGTTCTTAATTATCATGTTTGACGTGGTCAAATCACCATGAACAAGGCCTCCATCATGTAGTTTGCCGACGGCATTTCCTATCTGTGTGGCAATATCATTCAGGCGTTCCTCATTAACCCCATCTGAACCAAACCCAAGAAGTATATCCTTGACAGACAAGCCATCCACATACTCAAAGGTCAAAGTATGCAGAAGTGGATCCACAGCATAAAGTACTGGGGTAGGAACACCAAGCCTTCTTGCTTTTGTCATGCACCGAGCTTCCTGCGCATGGAAAACACCACACTAATATTACTATACTAAGCTAAATCTCGGTAAAATCAGTTGTTATGTGCAACTGTTCAGGCCATGTCTTGCAACTCATCATAACTACAACTCAATCAATAATCTATACCTTTGGCACAAACTGAACTCTTTGTTTGTAAACACTAAACAAGTAAGGCAAAAATAGATAATCATCCCAAGATTGACATTTCCCATACAAACAAAAGTATAATTTTTTTACACATGAAGAAAAGCAAATCTGATAATAACATGTTGGTTAGAGAGACTAACAGCATTTAAGCGCTTTAGAGTCAACTTCGAGTCCAACAATGGGTGTCGGTACTTTTTTGAAAACCGCTCTTTGATTACACATTTTCATCCCACAAATGTCGAAGCAAATACCCTCTGCAGAGAAGCAAACAAACTATTTAGAAAGCAAGCAAAAGGACAAGCAGCAACTACATATCGACTCTTTGCTCACCCCTTCTGCCCCCTGCTTCAGGCAGTACGCCAAAATCCTGTTCTTGCTCCTGAGACGTATCCATGAAACCGAATAACCACTTGAAACAAAGCTGCGATGGATGAAGTAAAAAAAAGGAAAAATTAAAGAATGCCAAACAAAAAAAGGGAACAACAAATGTAATAGACAAACTGAAATCATGAGAGCCAGCAGTTCTGCCAGATTACCAACCATTTCAAACTAGTGTTTTAGGATAGCTGTTTCAAAACTACCAAAAATTGCTAGAGTACAGGTTCCAAGCCTTTTACCATAGCTGCTAGTCCTGGGATGGTTTTAACATTTGAACTAGCACAGGTCATCATCACAAAATTCCAAGAGTAATAAGAAGATTTGCTCAAGTTAACAAATTCAGTAGTACCTACACTCCCTACTTCTTCCTCGAAGTGTTCTTTTTGGCTCCAACAGCAGTAGCCTTCTTTTTTCGGGCCAAGCGCTTATAGTTCTGAGGGCTTAACCTTTGTGCTGGACAAACTGGTCTGAATACCTCTGTCTTCAAGGGATTCAGCAGATCTTGTGAGCATCCTAATACAAGACCACTCTTTGTAGCCTCATCCCACAGCTCTCTTCCAATTTCAAATCTACCAATCCTACAAAGCTTTTCTATAAGGAGGTCATATATACGAGCATCCACTAACTCACACCTCTTCATAAGTTTGAACATATCAAGAGCATGGTCGACTTTCTCTGTTCCACAAAGGACGCCTATAAGACCATGGAAAAACTTAGCAGTTGGAAGCACTCCACTTTCAAGCATGTCATCTACAAGCCTCTTCCCTCTAACAATTCTCCCTGTTAAATAGAGGACCCTAACCACAAGATAGTAGCTAACCCAATCAGGGGAGCACCCTGCTTTTCCTTCTCTCGTCAAGTACAAGATTCTATAAGCTTCTTTCACTCTTCTTGCTCGGCCTAAACATGAAAGTAATATGTTGAAGCTAGAAGCAGCCGGGGGAACACCACAGGACCTCATCTCTGTTAATATATCCATAGCCTCTGGAACAAGGGCAGAGGGATTGAACTTAAGGTTTCTGTGGCACACACAATGGAGAAAATCGTTGAACGATGGCAAGCCCAAAGGAGCGCCTGAAGACTTCATTTCATTGAGGACTTTCCGAGCCTCCTTGGCGTTCCCGTGAACGCACCAACCATGAAGGAGGCTACGTTCAACGATGCTAACCATGGGCTCTGCCGAGAGCTCGCTCTTATGGTGCCACACAACACCCTGTGCCTCGCGAGCATGGCCCCTCTTACACAACGCCTGGACCATGGCAACGCTGCTCGACCATACGCCATCGCCTCCAACACTGCTCCCACGCTCAGGCAGCAATCTCTGCCGCTCCAAGCCTCTAAACAGGCGAACGGCCTCATCCTCCCTCCCCGCCTTGACAAGTGCGTCGACCACAGTGGGAAATGTCTCGGGAGCCATCCTCCGCCCGTCCTTCTCAGCATCAGTAATGGCGATTCTCATCGCAGTAAGGTCCCCAGCCAGCGCAAGCGCCCCAATCGCCCTGTCGAGCGCCTCCGCCCCCAATGCTCCGGGGTGCTTGGACCGGCACCACGCCAAAAAGCGCAGCAACCTCCTGCCGGCGCCTCCGCCCGTCTCGCCGCACGAGTCGATCAGGCGCGCCACCAGGCGCGGCGAGACGGCCACGCCCAGCCGGTCCAGCCTGCTCCCCACCTCATCGAGGCTCCCGGACCCGGAGCACACGACGTCTCGCACCGCGGCCTCCATCTCGCCGTCCTGCGGCGCGCCGGAGCACAAAGCGTGGCCGATTGAGCGGCGGGATGGAGGAAGGGTGCTTCGAATAAGGCCCGCTGTGAATCTCCTCGACGCCAATCTGTTCATGAGCTCTATCTAGTGCACAAAACCACCGGAGGCTAGAACTGGAGCAGAGAAGCGGGGGGAGCGGTGGCGGGTCGAGAGTGAAACTGACCTTCGGGAGGCGGCTGCTGCTGCTGGGAGATACGCCAGGTCAGGCTTGCTGCGGCAGGTCGTGCCTCGGTATCGCTCCAGGCGGCGGGGACGGGGATGGAGGCGTGGAACGAGATCCTCTGAAGTCGGTCTTCATGATTGCTGCCGGCAGTCACTCCATCGCTGCCGTTCAATGCCATCCGACAGAGCAGCTGAGCCCGTGTTCAATAAAAAAAAAGTTTCAAAAAAAGTCTACAAGATTCATCAATCTTTGCGATACATATGAGCCCAAATATATAAAAAAACTAATTACACTTTGCAAAATTGCATGAACGTTTTGAGCCTAATTAACACTGGCACCAAATAAAAACAAAAATACTACAGTAGCCAAATTCCAACTTTTCCCTCAACTAAACAAGGGCTGAGCCCAGGCAATACCTTCTTCGCACGTGCATGTTTTGGCCCAATAACATGGCATGCTAAGCAGAAAAAGCAGCCAGCGGCGTTCCTCCTTTTTTGGCGCAATAGGCAGTTTGTTTTGGCATAGGGTCTCGCATAACCGACCAATTTACAGGAGCACAAGTACAATGGTAGCCCATAAGCGGTCGCACTGTCATACTTAAGCCCATATAAACCCGGTAGTCCGACGAGTACCACGATGGGTCTCGATAAACGATCAACATACAATCAAGATCGTACATGATTCAACATACATGTTACATGTTATATAAAGTTCACAGATACATTTCCTTCGTCAGAGTACGAAATAGAGTTATTATAAATCAAGTTCGATAGATAGTAGCGGAAGCAAATTAAAGTTCAAAAGTAGCATTTGCCAACATAGTTCAAATACAGTGCCAACACATGATCACCATCCACAAAAGCATATAGAAGGATTATTAAAGATGTCTGCCCAAGGCTCACTCCTCATCCACGGCGGGATAGAAGCAATTCTTGCAATAGTCGTGATAGACGGTACCATCTGCAACAATGAGAATAAAACCCTGAGTACAAGAAGGTACTCAGCTAGACTTACCCGTCATAAACCAGAAATAAATTGACTCCAAGAATTATGCAAGGTTGTATAAGTGGAGGTAGCTTAACAACATTTTGCATAAAAATCGATTTACTCGAGTTATACAATTATACTTTGGTCATCAAGTTAATTATAGCTATTCATCTCTAGATTAGCAACTATCATGTGCCAAACATGTGGTATATCATTTTAAGAGCATACAATAGTAACCATAGCCGATGTAGTAATTCCATGTTTATCCGAACCATCACATTCCATAATACAATTACTATGATGTTGGTGCTAGCCAAGTTTCTCACTATCCGGGAGAGACGGCGATTCGAATCGATTTCAACCAGCTGGGAATTTATTCCTAACACAAACCTAGGCAGACCAGATCAACGGTCACCTTAGGTCACATTTGGTACAACTCAAGTCCACATTTCGCGGGTTCGCCTAGTGCCGCATAATCAGGGACAACCAGCTGCCAGGATGTTCAGGCCCGGCCTATCCTTGGGCTCACGTCTAGCTCCCTGCACATCCTTACTACCATCCAAAGTGTGCACTCTAACAAAGCGGGGCCTGGCTTGAGTTGAGCTACTTTGCTTTGTGGTCGGAACGAGTTATCCGACCAACTAAGTGATAGGCATGCGTTCAATCTTGTTAGAAGGGCCAACAACGGTATGGTCCTTAATCGATACAGACGAAATTATATGAGTCAACCCACACATAGACTCCGTCCGGCCTCCATTTACATTACCCAATGGTTCTTTTTTACGATAGCAAATATAGTCAATCGTGCTTCGGTATCCACCTATATCTCGTAGGTGACAGGAAATTACCCGACTTCTACCGGTCTAAGCATGGCTAAGCATATATTCGATCCTGGACCTACATAGGGTTAAAGGTATATGTATCTGGACAAGGTAGTTCCATACATCAAGTGTTTCCAATCAGCTCTTATAACCTAATGCATCAAACATAAATGACTCAAGTAGCATTTTGTAAAACACTAGGAGACTTAAAATGCTCTGGGGCTTGCCTTTGAGGAAAGAGGTGGGGCGGTGATCTAGGCACTCAGGGAGCTCTTTGAGAGTCCGCTCCTCTTCTCTCTGGAGCTATGGCTTGAGGAGTTTCCTGTTGATCCTCTTCCTCTTCTTCGTTGAATTCCAACAACGTTATCTACTCAGTCGATCCTATATCAATGATCATAGAATAAGATATTGCGAATGCATGTATGACGACACGTATAATATGATAAAACATGACGAATGTGTCCTCGTAAGTATTTTCAACAGCATGGTGTCAAAGTAATAACAAGTGCATCCTATTCTACTGAGTAGATGCATATCTCCTCTCTATTACTTAAGCAAACACTTCTGCAATTAATTTATCGAACTATAAAACAGCAGCTACTTATTTTAACCATAACTGGAGTTATATACATCAAAATCCTATGGTTGTGGATATTCTGGAAATATTATGAAATTGTCTACAACTTTATTTTAATACTCTTGTTATGATTCAATAGTTATCTAGGTCAAACAATTTAGTCAAACAAATCTGTTCAGAAAGTAAGCAATTAGGACAGCAAACTTCTAACAATCAAAACTCTTAAACCCTAAGGCCTATGACCATGAAAATTTAACACAAGGTATATTAGTAAGTTATCTACAAGTTTTCTATTAATAAGTTTTACAGAAAAGACCATTATCAACATGAAATCATCCACACAACCGAAACTATATATGCAACCATCTATTTGAATTACAAAGCAACAATTAATTAGTTGCATACAACCAATTGCTTCTAAGCCTTACTATAGACATCAACAGTTACTATGCATCACAAGCACCATAGAAAACATCATGGTCAATCATAATTTAATTACTTAAATGCCTTTATTAATTTAATTAAATAATTAGGAGAAATAACAAACATACACCAAATTGGCACAATAAATTCTCATAAAATTACAGTAGCTTCCTAGTGCTCACAATAGACTACTGTAAAAATTTCATACCATTTGGACATGTACAACATCCTCTACAAAAAACATTGAAGACATCGAATGTTGCACTCATCTCTAGGGGAAGTTGCAACTTATAAGCGACATCCCCTTTCCGTTCAGTAATCTTGTATGGCCCTACATATCTAGGCGCAAGCTTTCTTTTCACTCCAAATCTCTGTACTCCCTTCATGGGTGACACTTTCAAGTATACATAATCTCTCACTTTGAAAGTTAGTGGTCTTCTTCTTTTATCAGCATAACTCTTTTGTCTTGACTGAGCTGCTTTTATATGTTGTTGGATAATGCGCACTTGCTCTTTGGCTTCAGTGACAAAGTTAATGCCAAAGTATCTTCTTTCGCTAGGCTCAATCCAATTCAAAGGAGTTCTACATTTCCTATCGTATAAGGCTTCAAACGGAGCCATCTTGATGCTTGCTTGATAACTGTTGTTGTAGGAGAACTCGGCTAAAGGTAGCTATTTCTCCCATGAACCCTTGAAAGATATAACACAAGCTTGCAACAAATCTTCTAAGATCTAGTTCACTCGCTCAATCTGTCCGGAAGTTTGTGGATGGTATGTTGAACTTCTGATTAGTTTAGTTCCCAAGGCCTAGTGCAAGTATTCTCAGAAATGAGCTATAAATTGTGGTCCCCATTCTAAGATTATAGTCCTGGGTATCCCGTGTAGTCTCATGATCTAAGAAACATACAGTTCGGCGTATTTCCCTGTGCGATCCATTGTGTTAACCGATATAAAATGTGCTGACTTGGTGAGATAATCTACAATAACCTATATTGAATCGTGACCTTGCTGTGTCATTGGAAGGCCGGTGATAAAGTCCATACTTATTTCTTCCCATTTCCAGCCTAGAATAGGCAATGGTTGAAGTAATCCAGCCGATTTCAAATGAACGGCCTTTACTCTACTGCAATTATCACACCTAGCGACATAGGCTGCAATTTCCTTCTTCATCTTGGTCCACCAAAAACAGGTTTTCAAATCTTGATACATTTTGCTACTACCCGGATGGATAGACAACTTGGACAAATGTGCTTCATCTAAAATTTGATTTCTAAGCTCACGGTCTTTCGGTACCACAAGTCGGTCCTCAAACCATAGCACACCTCTTTCATCTAATCTAAAATGCTTAGTTTCTTGCTCTTGCATCTTTCTCTTGATGTGGAATATACCTACATATGTCTTCTGTAGTTCTATGATTTTGCTCTCGAGTGAACAACTAATAGTGATATTGTGCAGCATAACAGGATGTAACAAATTAAATCCATCTTCCAACAAGGCTTTCAAAATGTTACAATGAGATTTTCAACTAAGTGCATCTTCTACAACATTGGCTTTCCCTGGATGGTAGAGTACTTCTAAATTGTAGTCCTTAGTTAGCTCTAACCATCTTCGCTGTCGCATGTTCAGCTCAGGTTGGGTAAAGATATATTTGAGACTTTTGTGGTCAGTATATATATGACATACATTGCCCAACAAATAATGTCTCCATATATTTAATGCATGAACAACTGCTACAAGATCTAAATCATGCGCAGGGTAATTGACTTCATGTTTCCTTAATCTAGACAGAACAATTCTCAGATGCTCTGCATGATCTGCCTCATTCTCCGAATAAATCAAGATATCATCGATAAACACAACCACGAACTTGTCAAGCTCGGGCATGAATATCAAATTCATCAAGTACATGAAGTAGGCAGGAGCATTCATTAGTCCAAAAGACATGACCAAATACTCATACAAGCCATACCTAGTGGAGAAAGTTATTTTAGGTATATCCTCTGGCCTGATCTTTATCTGATGATAGCCTGACCTCAAGTCAATCTTGGAGAATACCTTCGCTTTTGCCAACTGATCGAACAAGATATTGATACGAGGCAAAGGATACTTGTTTTTAATGGTCACAGCATTAAGTGGTCTATAATCCACACACATTCTCAAAGACTTGTCCTTCTTCTTTACGAACAATGCTAGACATCCCCATGGAGATGAACTAGGTTGAATGAGACCTTTGTCCAATAGTTCCTATAACTGAATTTTAAGTTCAGCTAACTCATTTGGTGGTATCCTATAGGGTCTTCTTGAGATAGGTGCTATACCTGGTACTAACTCAATCTTAAATTCCACATCCCTATCAGGTGGTAAACCTGGT